CGAGAGCCCTTATGAGGGAGGGTAGAAGGCAAGGGAAGGGCGGTGCCGCGGCCTACGAGCGGGCCCGCAGCTTCCGGAAAGATTTACTTACTCACGGGATGGGACACGGGTTGCTACGCGACCCGCCGGGGGCCCTGAGTACCCCCACCAATGAGAACTCCCCATTCCCCCAGCCCTCCGCATGACACCTCTCATTATTGTAACCCTGAACACCAGGGGCTGTAGGATGGCTCTCCGCAGGTCCCAGGTGCTCTCCTACCTTCGGGAGGGGGGTACTCTGTGGTTTTCCTGCAGGAGACCCACACGGACCCAACCGCCGAGGATAGGTGGCGGCTGGAGTGGGGGGACGGGGTATACTTCAGCCACTGCACGGCTTGGCAAGCTGGAGTGGCGACCCTGTTCTCCCCCACCCTGCGGCCCGAGGTGCTAGGAGTCACTGAGGCCGTGCCGGGCCACTTGTTGCACCTCCGAGTTCGTTTGGAGGGGCTCGTGGTCAATTTTGTTAATATCTATGCCCCGCAAGTGAGTTCACAGCGGCCACAATTTTACCAGCAGGTGTCCGAATTTCTCGACACCCTAGATTCACACGAGTGCCTGATCCTGGGAGGGGACTTTAACACCACCCTCGAGGAACGGGACCGCTCGGGGGCCGAGCCGAGCCCGGCCGCCGCGACCATTCTCCGAGACATAGTCGATTATCACTCCCTAGTGGACGTCTGGCGTGACCATCACCCAGATGATATTTCCACGTTTACCTTCGTTCGGGTGGAGGCCCGTCGGTCACACCGCTCTCGGTTAGACCGTATTTACCTATCCCGTCTCCATCTCTCACAGGCCCACTCCTCCACCATTCGGCCGGCCCCTTTTTCCGACCATCATTTGGTCGCCGTCACGGTCTCCCTCCGTGCAGAGGGACCGGGGCCGGCTTACTGGCATTTTAATAACAGCCTGTTGGAGGACGAGAGCTTTGTGATGTTCTTCCGGGAGTTTTGGCTGGCCTGGCGGGAGCAGTGGCGTGCCTTTCCCTCGGTGCGGCGCTGGTGGGATTTAGGGAAGGTACGTGCCAAGCTCTTCTGCCGCAACTACACTCGGGGCACCAGCCGACGGAGAAATGCGGCGATAGAGCAGTTGGAACGGGAGGTCTTAGAGCTGGAGAGGCGCCTGGCCGCCAGCCCCGGGGACCCGTCCCTCTGCGGAGCGTGCCGGGAGAAGCGGGAGGAACTTCGAGCCCTCGAGGACCACCGGGCCCGAGGTGCCTTTGTCCGGTCCCGCATCCGCCTCCTTCGGGAGATGGATCGCGGCTCCCGCTTCTTCTACGCCCTGGAGAAAACGAGGGGGCCAAAAACACGTCACCTGCCTTCTAGCGGAAGACGGCACCCCCCTCACGGATCCGGAGGAGATGTGTGGGAGGGCCCCGTGACTTCTACGCAAACCTTTTCTCCCCGGATCCGACCGATCCTGGCGCTTGCGGGGTGCTCTGGGAGGAACTCCCCACGGTCAGCGTGGGCGACCGAGACCGGCTAGAGCTGCCTCTCACCCTGGCCGAGTTCTCGGGAAGCCCTCCGTCGCATGCCCACCAATAAATCTCCGGGCATGGACGGGCTGACCGTGGAGTTTTACCGCGCGTTCTGGGACATCCTTGGCCCAGACCTAGTCGCTGTCTGGGCTGAGTCCTTGCAGGGCGGGGTCCTCTCCTCTCTCGTGCAGACGAGCGGTGCTCGCCTTGCTGCCGAAGAAGGGGGACCTCCGCGACTTACGAAACTGGCGTCCCCTCTCACTCCTCAGCACGGATTACAAAATCGTAGCGAAAGCAATCTCGCTGCGGCTGGGGTCCGTGATGGCGGACGTGATTCACCCAGACCAGACCTATACTGTCCCGGGTCGCAGCATTTTTGACAACCTCTTTTTAGTCCGAGACCTTTTGGAACTCGGGCGGAGAGACGGTCTGTCGTTCGCCCTCCTGTCTCTCGATCAGGAGAAGGCGTTCGATAGGGTAGATCATGGGTACCTCCTGAGCACCCTGCGAGCGTTTGGATTCGGACCTCAGTTTGTGAGTTTTCTCCGGGTGCTGTACGCCTCCGCGGAGTGTCTGGTTAGGCTCAACTGGACCCTGACCGAACCGGTCAGCTTCGGGCGAGGGGTGCGGCAGGGGTGCCCCCTCTCAGGCCAGCTGTATGCTCTGGCGATCGAGCCTTTCCTCTGTCTCCTCCGCAGGAGGTTGACGGGGTTGGTGCTGCGGGAGCCGGAGCTGCGGCTGGTCCTGTCGGCGTACGCCGATGACGTCCTCCTCGTGGTCCAGGACCCGGGCGACTTGGTGCGAGTGGAGGCATGCCAAACCATCTTTTCGGCAGCCTCCTCCGCCCGAGTCAACTGGGTCAAGAGCTCTGGCTTGGCGGTGGGGGGCTGGCGGCAGGTAAGCTCCCTCCCACCCGCGCTTCAGACCATCCGGTGGAGTGCCGGCCCTCTGCTCTATCTCGGCGTTTACCTTTCTGCCACGCACCCTTCTCCGCCGGAGAACTGGCAAAATTTGGAAGGCGGCGTGATTGAGCGGATCAGGAAATGGACGAGGCTACTCCGATGTCTCTCCCTTCGGGGGAGAGCACTGGTGCTTAACCAACTAGTCCTGTCCACGCTCTGGTACCGGCTCAACACCCTAGCCCCGGCCCCGGGTTTCCTGTCCCACCTCCGGAGATTGATTCTGGAGTTCTTTTGGTCAGGATTGCACTGGGCCCCTGTTGGAGTTCTCCACTTGCCCCTGAAGGAAGGAGGGCAGGGCCTGAAGTGTCTGTACACTCAGGTCCGCGTTTTCCGCCTCCAGGCCCTGCAGAGGCTCCTTTATAGTGCAGGTAGTTCGACGTGGAGCATATTGGCGCATGCCTTTTTACGCCGCTTCCATGGGCTCCGATATGACCGACAGCTCTTTTATCTTTGTCCGAGAGGTTTTCCGCGAGACCTCTCCGGGCTGCCGGATTTCTACCAGGACCTCCTCCGGGCCTGGAAACTGTTTTCAACGACCAGGTCCGTGGCGGCCATCGTGGGGGCAGATCTCCTCACGGAGCCCCTGCTACACAACCCCCAACTCTGTGTGCAGGCGGCGGAGTCCCGCACGGTGCGCCAGAGGTTGGTCCTGGCGGGAGTTACGAGGGTCGGGGACCTCCTGGACTACGACCGGGGGGACTGGCTGGATCCCCTGACGCTCGCTCGACGCATGGGGCTCTCCAGCCTTCGCACCCCCCGGCGCGTGCTTCAGGAGGTGGAGGCCGCTCTGACCCCCGCCGCTCGGGCTTATGTTAGCCGAGCCTTGCGCGAGGGCGCACCCCGCCCATCCCTTACCCCAGGCCCACCGGACCTTTTCGTTGGGCCCCTACCCTGCCGATCCCAACACACCCCTCATCCTTTCACTGCAAGCCGGCTGCATGAACTGCAACCGGTCGGTTTTCAAGTTGCATCACGGCAATATTTATATACACTTACGCTTCATACCCTTCATGCCCGCACCCTGGTGTCCCGCCCCGATACAAAGTGGCGAGATCTCTTACCACCTTTGGAGGGTGAGCAACCTCGGTGGGCCAGTCTGTACTCCACCTTGGTCCCGAGGCCCGTCGGGGACATCAGTTGGCGGCTCCTTCACGGGGCTGTGAGCACGGGCGTGTTTTTGACACGTTTTACCTCCCTTCCGGAGACTTGCCCTTTTTGCAACGTGAGGGAAACCCTGGCGCACGTCTATTTAGAGTGTGCCAGATTGCAGCCTCTTTTTCGGCTCCTCACAAATATTCTTTTGCGCTTTTGGCTTCATTTCTCCCCCCACCTCTTTATCTATACACTCCCCATCCGTGGCCCCACCAAGTCGCGGGATCTCCTGGTTAACCTCCTCCTAGCCTTGGCTAAAACAGCCATTTATAAGACCAGAGAGCGGAGGTTGGCTCATGAGGCGTCCTGCGATTGTGAGGCCGTTTTCCGACTCTCAGTACATTCACGTATCCGGGCGGAGTTCCTCTGGGCAGCGTCCACCGACTCCCTTGACACCTTTGAGGAGCGGTGGGCGCTGTCCGGGGTTCTCTGCTCGGTGACCCCGTCCGGTTCCCTCCGTCTGACCCTCTGATTGAGGGAAAGAGCGAGAGCCGCCAGTCACAGCCGTTAGTTGCTGTGAATACCATCATTACTGTCTTCTAGGAGGGGTCCTATAATACATGGGTGTACCCCCTTCCCTCCCAACCACCCACCCCGCAGCCGTGCCCATCTTGTCGGGCACTCTCGGGAGAGGGAGGGTCGGTGACCCTGGGCGTGGCACTAGGTAACTCGAGAGGGTGGAAGACCACGAGTGTCGAGGAAGCCCCCCCGCTCTAGGCCACCAGGTAACTCAGGAGGGTGGAAGACCGCGAGTGTCGAGGAAGCCCCCCCGCTCTGGGCCTGGGCTACCTGAACACCTCTCCCTCCTGAAAAGCTGTTGTGTTATACCTTCTGATTGCGTTGTGTTGTTGCTAAGTTTTTTTTTTATCCTTTTGTACTCTCTGTAATTGTTACAAATAAATTTCTTTTCTGTTTCAATAAAAAAAAAAAAAAAAAAAAAACCTTCCCTGTTAAGGAGACGGAATCGTTCTTCACTCGCTCCTGAGCTATCTGCTTTCCTTTCTTTCCTAAAGCCCCCCGGCCCGGATTTTTCACACTTTTCCTTTTGCTTAGTTTCCCCCCCCGCGTTTGGGCCGGACGCTTTGTTTTTTTGGTTTCGTTTTTTCCCGTTTTCCTGAGCTGCGTCAGTGTGCTGGCCAGTTGCCAGGCCCCCCCCCCCCCCCCCCCCCGATGCCTGCTTTTGGACTTTGCTCTTTGCTTATTTGAAACCCCCGGAGGAGGGGGGAGGACTGCCGACCTGCTGTCCGGAGAGGGGAGTGGACCCCCCCAGACCCAGCTGTTTTGTTTTTTGCCTGGACTTTTTCCGAGAGCCTTGGGACAGAGCCAACAGCTGTAGCAGACGCCAGAGGCCAGAGAACTCCCGGGCGGCTATGAATCATCGTGGAGAGAGGCCGTAAGACTGAGGGATTTCCTTTGAATTTCTACCCTCGGGGGGGGAGTTGACTGCATTTCAGCTGCGTCTGCGGCGGCACAGAGGTGTAGCAGGGAGCTACCCCCAGATCCATCGGTGCCCCCAACCCCCCCACCACTACTACGACTATCACGGCCCCCGCTGCTTCGTCCCTGCTGGCAATCTGCCATCTGCCTTCGGAGCCAGCTGTTTGCTTTGGACTTTGCCTTTTGGACCGGCATAATAACCAACCAAGCGAGACTCTTTGGACACTTGTGGTGGGTTGTCCTCCCTCCACCCCCCCCCCCGGATTGTTTACCCCATAGCCTACCCCTACTACCGGACCCCGATTTTTGCCCCCCTCCCCCTCCCAGTGTCTCCCTGTCTCTCCCTGCTTACAATGGCAGAGAAGGAGGGACGCAAGGCCCCTCCACCGAAATTGGTTGCCCCTTCCTCATCTACCCTCCTGCCCACCCCTCAAGATTTCCCCACCGCCTCCATTGTTAGAACCCCTGCCACCGCCCCCGCTGGGGCATCGGCAGTAGGAGGCACCGGGCGCTTACTACTGCTGCTCTGGTTTTTGCCCCATTAGATTCTAGGAACCCCCCCCCCAGTTAGACGGAAAAATCGGGCGGGCCAAAAGGGGAAGGGCCCCGCTAATGCCGCTGGACCCTCCGTGGCAGAGGCCGCCCCCACCACAGTGGCCTCGTCATCGATCGCGGCACCCCTCCCAGCTGTTCCCTCCACCAGCTCTGCGACCATCCCTCCCCCCGGCCCCCAGGACATATGCCCGGGTGGCGACAGGCCCCCCCCTCACCTGCCGCCTCCTCATCTCGCCCACCCACTGCCTCCGCTGCCATCACTAGCAATCGGGGCCCTTTTCCCCGCCCCTGACCAGGAAGCACGGTGTCCGTTGCCTCCTAGTGCCCGCCTCGCCCCACGTGGAGGCATACGTGCAGGCGTTGGCGAAAGTGGTAGGACCCATGGCCATTGTGGCGGCCTCCAAGATGTATGGGAAGGTCGTTCTTTTTCTGGCCTCGGAGACTGCCGCCCAGGAGGCGGTGGAGAAGGGCCTAGTGGTGGGGGGGGTGTTTCTCCCCCTAGAACCGCTAGAAGATCTGGGCGTTAAGCTTCGTCCTCACCTCCGTTCCTCCCTTTTTGCCTAATGTTGCCCTGTTACCTGCTCTCTCCGCCCTGGGGAAGCTTGTCTCTGTTATTAGCCCTCTCCCGTTAGGCTGTAAGGACCCCGCCCTCCGTCACGTCCTTTCGTTCCGCCGGCAAGTGCAGATTTCACTGCCGGCGGGGGTGCGTGACGGAGAGGCGCTCGAGGGGTCCTTCCAAGTTCCCTACCAGGGAGCCCGCTATAGGGTCTTTTATTCCACCGGAGAGGCCCGGTGCTACCTCTGCCGCTCGGCAGGGCATGTCCGCAGGGACTGCCCTTTGGCCCGGGGGAGAGGGGCACCTGAGGCCCCCGAGACCCGGCGGGATATCGGCCCTGTTGTTGCCGACACCCCTGGCCACCCGGCACCCGACACCACCCCCTCCCACCCGATCCACCGCTGCCCCCGTCCGGGCCCAAGAGGCACCCTCCAACAACGCCCGGGCGACCACGGGAGTCCCACTCTTGCCGTAACCACCTCGGCAGAGCCCATGGAGGGGGTGTGGCAGCTTTGCCGGGTGCAGGAGAGGGCTCGCCCCACGGAAAACCCCCGCCCCTAATGCTGCCTTACCGCTACCCCCCCAAACCCCTGAACCTCTGCCTCCGCGCCCTGCTCCGTCCCCTGCTACTCAACCCCCGGACGACGCCATGGAGGGCTGGACTGTAGTCCAGGGAAGCGAGGCAAGCGGAGGGCTCGAGCTCCGCTGCATTCATCTGACGCGGAAGCCCCCCCGGAAGACCAGGAAGGGAGGTACCGACCTTGAGCCTCCCGCCTCGGCCACGAGTGAGATCCATTCGCTGGTGTCGGGAGGTGAAGATAGACCAGCATTGGAGGGTGGAATCCCCCCTCCGCGGGGGACCCTCCCCTCTGAAGCCCCGGGGGAAGCCCCTTCTAACCGGATACCACCTGAACTCCCAACGAACCCCGACGTGACCGTCGAGGCGGGCCCTAGCAGAGAGGCCCCTGGGGTGGTGGGAGTTGGCCTCTCCTCTGTGTCGCAGAGATTGAAGCCCTAGATCTGACCCCGGTCACCCAGGGGAGGGGATGATTTACTGCCGGCCGGCCTTGCTTTGGGCAATCTCACCCCAGGCCCCCTCTCCCCATGTTCTTTCCCCCTGACTGCCTTTCCGGGTGAGCACCCCACGGAAAGTGGTTTACCACCTGATACCATGGCGGCCACGACCACCCCCGGAGCCAGTCCCTAGCATTCCTCGGAGCCCCCTCCCTTGCCCTTAACCCCCGACCCTGCTCGGGAGGCACCTTCTTTCCGTTGCTCGCCTCCTGAAGCCCAGGGCCTTACTCTGCCCCTGCCCCCACCCCTATTCCGGTTCAGTTTCCCTCCTCCTGCAAGG